TCTTTTGAGGACTTTTGTTATTATGACTCACTTTCCCAGAGCCTGGTCACTTCTGATCACTGGGAACTTGAGTTGCTGGCTCAGGGTTTAGACTTGTACCACCATGATCAAGACACTGGCAGCAACTCTTTGACACCTTTCTGACAATGTTGGTGATGCACATGAGATTCATAGCCCTGAAAATTGCTTAAGCTGATCAATGAAGTAATTCTGTGTTTATAGAACAGGTTGTTCAACACTGGCACTATGAATACTTTGGACCAGATAGTTCTTTGCAGCTGGGGACTGTCCTGTATATTATAGGGCACTTAGCAGCATCCGTGGCCCCTACCCTCTAGATGGCAGTATTGCCCCCTCCCCGTTGTAGCAGTGACAAAGTCCCCAGAAATTGTCAGATGTCTTCTGGGAGGCAGAACTGTCCTGAGGTTGAGAACTGTTGTTTAACAGGGGCTTCCTGGGAGGAACAGAGCATAAAAGTTTACTTGGGAGTGGATGAGGGCTCCTGCTCCTTACCTTTATATCGGTAGGTACGATCACAGTGCTCAGGCTGTGTGGAGTCACAAGGGTCCTACAGAATAGCACTTCTCAAACTTGCATCTTATAAGCTAAGATTTTGATGCAGTAAGTCTGGGATGGTACCTAGGGTTATGCAGGTCTAATAGGCTACCAAGAAATGTCAATGCTGCTCGTCCTTGGGCCAACTTTGGGCAGTAAGGACCTAGGCCAGGCCCTGAGATCTTCCTTTCAACAGGCACCATACTAGGTACTTGGGTAGCAAGGATTTATAAAATGCCTCTTCAGTTGAGAAGACAATTGTGTAGACTGATGATTCCAATTACAACATTATAAGTACAATCTGAGAATATTTGGATACTTGATAGCTAAAAAAGGCATCTGGAGGGTTCAGAGGGAGCTTCTGTATGATTGACCTTTTTTAAATCATGAATTTTTTATTACATTTTACACAAATACATTTATATCTATTGATGTGATACATATTTTTCTGATAATCTAGAAATGTAATAATTACATTTATTTACTACAAATTTTTTTAATGAAATAACACTTTTTATTTAAAATTAAGCCATATTTACATGCAATATGAATTAGAATTTTATTGACTTTGATTTTAATACCTCTGGAAGAGAGATCTACTACCATTATTGAAGACTAAAATTTAACTGCCAGAGTCTCTAAATGAACTAATCTTTAAAATTCACTGATGTACCTTATCAACATCTCGTTATTATTATTAATTTTTTAAATTATGGTATGATACACATCAAATTTACCAGCTTAAGTGCACAATTCAGTGGCATTAAGTACATTTACATGATTCTGCAACCATCACCATCTTCCAGAGCTTTTTTTTAACCTTGCAAAACTGAAACTTTGTACTCTGTACACAGGAAGACAACAACTCTCTTTGCACCACTTTCCTCTTGCTCCTGACAGCTACTAATCTACTTTCTATCTAAATGAATTTGACTACTGTGGGTGCTTCATATATGTGGAATACGTAGTATTTATCTTTTTGTAACTGGCTTATTTCACTTAGCATGGTGTTTTCAATGTACCTCTATGTTGTTACATATGTCAGAATTTTCTTCCTTGTTAAGGCTGTGACTAATATTTGGTTGTATGCATATACCACATTGTGTTTATCATATTCATAAGAGGATGGACTCTTGGGTTGCTTCCACCTTCTGGCTATTGTGTGTAATGAGGCTCTGAACATTGATGTACAAATTCTGTTAAAGTCTCTGCTTTCATTTCGCTTGAGTATATACCCAGAAATTAAATTTCTAGACCATATAATATTCTATTTTAAGTATTTTGAGAACCATCATGCTAGTGTTTCCATAGCAGCTACACAGTTTTACCTTCCCATCAACAGTGCACAAAGGCTCCAGTTTCTCCACATCCACTGGTTATTTTCTGTTTATTTGTGGGTTTTTTTTTTTAATATACTATCCATCCTAGATGATTCAAAGTAGTAATTCAGTGTGGTTTTGATTTGCATCTCCTTAATGATTAGTGATATTGGGCATCTTTTTATGTGCTTATCTTTGGAGAAATGTCACTTCCATGTCCTTAGTCCATTTTTAATTGGGTTTGTTTTGTTTAATTGGGTTTAATTGTTGTTTGTTTTGTTTGTTGTTGAGTTGAAGGAGGTCTTTAAATAGCCTGGGTATTAACCCTTTATCAGATATATGATTGGTAGATATTTTCTCCTATTCTGTGGATTGCCTTTTCATTCTGTTCTATCATTTGGTGCCCAAAATGTTTAATTTTCTTTGCAGTACTGGATTTGAACTCAAGGCCTACACCTTCAGCCATTCCAGCAGTCCTTTTTTATGATGGGTTTTTTCAAGATAGGATCTTGTGAACTATCTGCCTGGACTGGCTTCGAACCATGATCCTACTGATCTCTGCCTCCTGAGTAGCTAGGATTACATGCATGAGCCACCAGTACCCAGCAAAATGTTTAATTTTAATGGAGCCCAATTTATCCATTTTTACCGTATTATTTGTGCTTTTGATATCATAGCTAAAAAATTATTTTGAAACCCAATAAAAGCCTTCCTGATATGTTTTCTTGTATGTGTTTTATATAAAAGTTTCAGTCACTATATTTAGGTCTTTGATCCATTTTTAGTTAATTTTTTTATGTGATACAAAGTTAAGACTCTCCTTCCTTCCTTCCTTTCTTCTTTCTTTGCATGTGGGCATCCAGTTTTCTTAGCACTATTTGCTGAAGGGATGGTCATTTACCCACTGAATGATCTTGACACCCATTGTTGAAAATCATTTGAATGTATATATAAATGTTTATTTTTGTACTTCTATTCCTTTGGTCTAAATGCTGATCCAACATTGTTTATAATAAGTTTTTAAATCAGGAAGAATGAGACCTCCAACTTTGTTCTTTTTCTCCTCCCAACCCCACAGGAAGATTTTTAGGTTGTTTTGGCTATTTGGAGTTCTTTGAGATCCTACATGAAATTTAGTGTAAATTTTTCTATTTCTGAAACAAAAAGTCAATGGGATTTTGACATTGCCATAGAACTTTTGAATTCAATCTTAAAGGAAACATTTGCTAGACAAATGAGGGAAAAGGGGGAATTTTAGGCAAAAGGAAGAGTGCGATAAAATGCATGAAAAGGTGAAAGAGCTAGTATATTTGGGGAACTAAGAAATCTGGTATTGATGGAGCATTAAGAAAGCATTTGTCTCAGTGTCTATGTATGTGTGAGTTGGGTGGGACATAAACTAGAAGCAGAATTAAGGTAAGGGTCAGATACTGTGGAAGTGGATGAGTGTTGTGTTAAAAGTTTAATTGAGATTAGCCAAATAGTTGGGCTGTGAAGTGATGTGATCATATTTGTAGAAAGATGACCCTGTGAGTAGAAGTCAGTGCTAGGAGACTTTTACAACACTTCCAGAAATGAAGTGATGAAACACTATGAGCATTCGTGGGGATGGGTAGGAGAGAGTGGATCTGAAATAGCCTCATCTCAGTATACACTCAGTTTCCAGGAGTTTCATTCTCTTCCAGGGCCTGGGGGTCCTCAGACCTGTTGTATCCAAGGAGGCATCTCTATAGCTATTTAACCTTCTAGTTGTCATCTTTCAAGTATTCAAATGCCTATTGAAGGCTATTCAAACACATTGTGCACTTGCAGAGGCTTAGGGGTTCCTCAACAGAAGCCATCCTCTTCTAAGCCACTAAAGCTCTCCCTCTTCATCGTGTCACTCTAAGGGCCTCTGGCTGCTCCAAGAACCTTGTGGTTGTTCCTGTATTACCTGTAAGTTGGTCTGTCTTTCCTTGTTTTGATCATCCCTGTAGCATGCTGCACTTTACCAGAGCAAGAGCTGTCTTTTCTGTTCTAAGCCATTCTTCCACCTTATGGAATTGCAGCTCTCAGGCCCTCTAAATGTGGTCCATGTTACTGATGTCTGTGACCCACTGAGAGCTAATGTTTCTTCCACAAGGACTGGAGCCTTCTGATTCTCTAATCATCCTGTGATTCAATTCCCTGCCCTCAGCTCACAGCAGCATCGAATGCAAGTCTTTATCACTTCTCACCTTCCATGCTTAGGGACTCTCTGTTGCTGAGTCCTGGGTCTGAGAAAGATGCTAGAGAAGGAATGTGTTCATCCAGCCAGAGCCCACATCTCCGAATACTGAGACCCCCATCACTGTTCTGACCCTGGAAGGCCAGTTCTGTTGCACAGACATTTTGTGTGTGTGTGTGTGTGTGTGTGTGTGTGTGTGTGTGTGTGTGTGTGTGTGTGTGCAGGCTGGCCCATCACTGTTACAGAAGGAGACAAGGAGCTGTGGGCAGAGAATAGGCTGAGTTTTCAAATGCTTATGGATATTTTAGAACTGCAGGCACTTTTGTAGCTGTGGGATAGCCGCCTCTGACCCATTGCCAAGGGTGCAGTTTTTGTCCTGAGTTACAAGGCAAACTGACCAAAGTACACAAGTGTCGTCAGAGCAGGCTCCCAGGAAAGCAGGAGAAGGAGCAAACTGTGGCTTGTGGTTAAAATGCATCATAGTTAAAGTGGTGATGACTGGAACCTTATGCATCAGGAAGGTGAACCAGGAAGAATGCAATAAGGAGCTCCAGAAAAGGTACGGAGCAAATGCTAAAGAGGGAAGTTGGGAGAATGGGGAAAAGAATGAGAAAGGCCAGGAAAAACATGAAAGGTTGCTGCTGCCTCCCTGAAAACCAAGAAGCTCACTTAAACAAAGAGGATAAGACTCCAGGTCTTTGTGGCTCCCTGCTGGAAAAGATGGCTAGCATTTAGGAGACTGACTCAGTCTAGGCTACTTAGAACACAGCCTCAGGAAAGCAGAATATGTCCTTCACTTACTTTATGTCTCCAAACAGAAAAGAAGAGAGAGAGAGTGGGCATCATCGATTTAGCTGAAGCATCCACAGGAGGTCTTTTCTGGGATGAGGCCCAGCATGGAGCCAGGGATCGAGGAGCACACGCATATGGCTTTGCTCAGCAATATCCTAGCGGCCTATTCCTTTGTCTCAGGTAAGTGCCTGATTCCAGCTAGGCCAGAGCGGAGAGCTGGGACTGGGTCCAGGGCTGATTTCTGGTCTTGTACTAGGAGAAAAATGCTATGTGATTGCACTGAGGGCTCTGCTCTGGTGAGTTTTGAGATTAAAGATCTTCCAGATGGAAGTCAAGCTTAGTGTCCTCTGAAATCTGGCAGATGAGAGGTTCTAAGAGTTTTATCTTGCCTGAAATGTTTGGTTTCCTTTCAGGGCAAGGGAATGAGTGAAGCAGCCTGGGGTTACTGGTGCTTCTGTCCTTATGCATGAACTCTGATGAGGGAAGAGGCTGATGGAGGACATCAGCCTGGTGATTTCTGTGTAGTTCTCAAACCCTCACTGGTTGCTTATGAGTGTGTGTGTGTGTGTGTGTGTGTGTGTGTGTGTGTGTGGCAGCTGCCAGAGGTGTTTGATGACCTTTTGGGAGAAAGGGAGACAGAAGTCTGGGAGTCTGAGAGAGTTAGATATTTGCCTCTTCCTTGATTCAAGGTTGACTCTTGAGGAAGATGGCTGAGTTTCTCCCCAAGATTATTTCTGGAGACCAGATGCTGTTCATTATCAAAGGAGACATTTAAATATACATGGAAATGTTCCATGGTTTCAATGCTGAAACTGCTCCTGTGTTGCTTGAGTGAGTTTTTAAATTTTTGATAGTTTGTTTTGCCTGATATCTCTGGATGTTGTATGGAAAAAAAGGGGCTGAGGTTCTGATTAGATTTCCTTTAGGGAAGGACTAGTTTTAGTTTCTGATTTTCTAACCAGAGTTAATATTGGTGACCTAAGAGTTCATACATAAAACCCGTTGAGAGACAATGGGGGCAATGGAAATAATATACAATATAAGTCTAATCGGAACTGTCACTATGAATCTCCCCCATATAATAATTGTATCTTAATAAAAATTCATTTTAAAAAAACGGATGTTTCTATAACAATGGCAAATTTGAGCCAATGATGAGGGTAAAGTAAGCACATGACTTCTTTTTGTGAGGGGATCGTGGATGATGTGCAATCCCGTTGCTGAAAGGAAGGCTTCTCAGGGCTTACCCAGCTGGCTCCATTGTGGTTGGCAAGATGAAGCATGAAGTCCACTTGTGCCACACATTTAGGTTCTGCCTTCTCAACTCCTAAGTCGTGTGCCTGCTGCCTGAGCACCCACACATGAGAAGAATTTCATTTCTGCTCTATTTTCAAGGCTGTATTGGAAATAAAGGGCACTAGAGCTGAAATAGGGATGTTTGGAACTCTGCCATCATGCTTTGCAACTGGTTGGAGGATGATCTCCTGAGTTTATAGTGAAGACATCTCCGCAAGTGGAGGATTGGCAGAGAGGGTCTGGAGTTTCCAAGGTCTCAAAGGGCACCTGCAAATCTGCTGTTGTAAGAAAATGCTTTCTAGTGAGAACAGAGTACTGAACTCTGCTCAGTACAGAAGGTACCTGGCAGTTTTCCATTTCAGCCAGCGTAACCCTGAATTTTGACCACTGAATGTGGTAACTCATTGAATGGTCTGGTATTTTACTGGGTGTCTTGTGATCTTGTCAAGGCTGAAAGGGTACATGGTTCTATTTTTCTGTCACCTCCAACCTTGCTTCTTTGCACCCCATACTCTGAAATTTAATACTGCTTGGGATTCAGGAAGACAGTGCTTCTTTTAAGTAAGTATGGGCTAAGATTAAAAGGAAATGTGAGGAAATGAAAAGTCGAGTGAAGTAAAATTTGTTAGATCCAGGAGATAGACTTTATGACTGAAAATTGGCTCTGAAATGGAAAACACTCTCTGGTTGTAAAAGAAAAAGACTGCCTGGTGCCAGTGGTTCATGCCTGTAATCCTAGCTACTCAGGAGGCAGATATCAGGAAGATCACAGTTCAAAGCCCGCTGGGACAAATAGTTCACAAGACCCTATCCCAAAACAAACCCATTAAAAAAAAAAAAAAAGGCTGGTGGAGTGGCTCAGGGTGTAGGCCCTGAGTTCAAGCCCCAGTACCACACAAAATAAATAAATAAATAACAGAAAAGAAAAAGACAAAAAAAAAAAACTCTTTAAAATATGAGGGTAAATATTAACAGGTAGAAATAATTATTGGTTTTAAAGAAAATATAACAAATGAATCAGTAATGATGAAAAGTATGATATTAGAAAATTTTAGAAAATATCCTAATTTTACAGTTTTCTCATGTTCTCATTCTGCTGTAACTGGTCTTCAACTATTGGGGAACCCCTAACTCCTCCTGTTTTCTCTCAGTACATCAGTTGTGTGATGGTTAATCTTGATTGTCAACTAGACTGGATTGCAAAATGCCTAGAAAATTGGTAAAGGAAGTTTCTGGTTCGGTCCGTGGGAGTGTTTCCAGAGATGATTGGCTATGGGTCAGTGAACAGAGTGGGGAAGACTCAACCTAACTTGGGAGCCCCAGATGGAACCAAAAAGTAGAAAAGGGAGAAGCTTGGTCACAGGCACACTTCACTCTTCTTGAGCAGGTGTGTTTCTGGCAGCTCCCATTGTCCATGGTCATCAGACTGCAGATTCATAAGCCTTTAAATGTGAACTCGCACCAGTGACTCTCCAGGGAGCTTCCAGGCCTTCAGCTTTGAACTGGGGCTGCATCAATGGTTTTTCTTGTCTGAGGCTTCCAGATTCTTGGACTGAGTAATCACTGATTTTCCCAGCTCTCTAGCTTACAGAAGCCATTGTGGAACTATCTAGCCTCTGACCATGTAGGCCAATCTAATAAATTCCTTCTTATAATTACATATGTGTTTTATTGGTTCTGTTCTTCTGTAGAACCCTGAGTAATACAAGTTTCCTCTTGTCTTATCCATGTGGTCCATTACTTTAGCAACACACTTGTTAATACACAAAACGGCCTATTTCTTTGTCCACTTCTGATTAAACCAATAGACAAAACCAAGCCCTGAATGAATCCTACTTCCTGTGTGTGTGGCAGGGGGAGGCTATCTAAGGTGTTTGATAACCTTCTGGAAGAGACGGAGTCACAAGGTATGTGAGTCCGGGAGAGTCTGATATTTGCCTCTTCCTTGGTTCAAAGTAGACTTTCAGGAAGATAACTGACTTTCTCCTCAAGATTATTTCTGGAGACCAGATGCTGTTCATATCAGAGGAGGCATTTAAAAATGCATGGAAATATTCCATGGTTTGAATGCCCAAGCTGTTCCTGTGCTGCTTGAGTGAGTTTTAAATTTTTTGATGATTTGCGTTTGCTTTGTTTTTCTTTTTACACATTTTGGAATGTGTATGAAAAAGAAGGAACTGAGGTTCTGATTAGATTTCCTTTGGGGAAGGGCTGGTTTTATTTTCAGATTCTCTAGACAGGGTTAACATGTGGTGATCTAAGAAAGGCAACCCATTTTTCCTCTGCAACCAAATTACCAAATACAACTATAATTTGCAAGTTGAAGCCAGTAGAAACTCATGGTCACTGGAATTAGTCTTCTGTTTGCTTCTGAATGCATCTTGTTCCCATTCTTCACAATGGCCATTTCAAACCTTGACTAGTCCAATAATTAAAAAATACCTGCTTACCAATGCTTAATGAAAATAAGTGACAAGACTGCTTGCCTAGCAAGCACAAAGCTTTGGGTTCAGTCCCCCAGTACTGAAAAGAAAGAAAGGAAACTTTTTTTTTGAATATACCATTAACCATGAATTGTTAAAGTTTATAACATACACGCTTTTACATATAAAGTGTCTCAAAAGAAAATGTGGAAAAGGATAACAATTAGCTGTTAGCAAAAGGGAAGGTACAAAATTCCAAGAAACTATACATAGTTTAATTTTTAACAAATACAAAACAGAAATAGGGAGAAAGTATGGAGTGATGAGGACTTGTATACAGTGTTAATGAAATTATAAATTGCCATAACCACTCTAGAGAATAATTTGGCAATATCTAACAAAAACCTTAAAAGTATATATATTGTTTAGTCAGCAATCCAACTGCTAGGAAATTCTCTCAAAAGAATTAGGGATGTAGACAGAAATATTCCTACAAGGACAATTAATCTCAGAATTGTTTCTATAGTAAAAAATGAGAAAATTGGTGGATAGTAATTGAAATAGAAAGATACTAATGCTGTGTTATTAAGTGAATAAAGCCTGTTACTACAGAGCATATGTAGTATAATCCCATTATTTGTGTATATATATATGTACATAAATGTAGCCATGTTTTATTGCAATTTATATCTGAGTACTAAAATTGTATGAGCATGTATATATATATGTTTTTATTAGTTCATTTAGCTTTATTTTTAACCATTCTTTAACTCATTGACATTAATTTGTAATAAGTAATGTTATTGTATTGGAATTTTAATTTGATTTGTATTATGCAAATTACCGTTCCCTTATTTTTTCTAACTTATGAGCTACATGTCCTGATAATTATCCCTTGAAGTGCTATAAGCATTTCAAATTCAACCCAGCCTAAAATGGAATACCATCCTTTTCTTTAAGTACGTTCCTTCATTTGTGTTACCTATCTAGAGCATCACAACCTAGAAATACGATTTTTAACCTTTGACACATCTTCCTCACTGCCCGTATCCAGCTGGCTGAGGATCAGGCAGTTTCACCCCTCCCAGTCTCTCAGCGTGTCCCTTCCTCACTCCTACCAGTGCTGACTTGGTTCAAGCCCAGCATGTTTGCCTTAAAGGCATTTTCCATGGTCTTCCTGCCTTCAATCTTGCTTCATAGTCTGTATCTTGTAGCAAAGTGATCTTTTCAAAGTGCAGGTGTGATGACACAATTCAGTTTTCAGAATCTCCCATGCATCCTCATTATCTCTGGGATAAAATCCAAAGGCTTTTGTATGACTTAACAGTTAGGGTTATTTTTCAGCTACGAATAGTAGAAAACCTCGATTTGGTGACCTAAAGCAAGCAATAGGAGTTCTTTTCCCCAAGTGTTTTGTGTCTTTCTTTCGCAGCACTTGGATTGAGGAAGCTAGCCTTTCCT